TACCTGCACAGAAAACGACGAAATTGCAAATGAAATTACTTTTACATCGTTACACTCTTTTTATATACTTCATTTCAATTCTTCGACGGAATTTTCAAGTGTTTCATAGACCATGTGATGACTGGGGCAAAACCCACACAACGTAAATGTAGCAACAAAACAACCAAGTAAATTTCAGCACCCAATGCCTACTGAGAAAAAGAAAAATAGAAGCTTAGAAAAAGATTTATTTTATTCTATCGCAATTCTCTCCCTCTTTTTGTTACCTGCTCTTATAGGCACATTCCTTTCACTTGCAACGAGCGCAACTACTCTGGTAAAGAGCAAAAAAAGAACGTAGCAATGAAAGACGAACATAATGTTGTGTCAACAACATCTAGTGAAAAAAAAGAAAAAAAAGCGACAAAGAATGACTTTTTGTTCTAGATCTTTCCATTCATTATTTTTACCTATCAGCACATATTCCTTACACTTATCAGAGAATACGAATGCTCGAATTAACAGAAACTGCCCGGGTGAAAGACGTGTGACGAGAAACGATCAGATTCATTCGCTTCTATCGCCCGAATCCTTCAGCTTTCCCTTACACTTTTGTCTTTCCAACGACTTAAGAATTATCTTCTTGCATCTTATAATCCGACAAACAGCATCATCGAAATGAGTGAAGAGTCTCCAATGAAAAGTGAGCATTTTTGACTATTTTCGTCATTGAAATGCTCACTCTTATAGTATAACAGGTTGTGCTCTTGAAGTAATTAGAGACTCATCCACGAAAACTGAATATATTTGAGTTTTTGCATGATTATCATGATCATGTTTATAGCATAAAAGCACTTCAAGTTTTCTACAGACTCTTCACTTTTCAAAATGATAGAAGTCCATCGTGCTTCTGTTTTTGGTAAGAAAGTGAGCATCTCTTGAATTCAGTACAGATTTTGTAATGAAAAATGTGAATGAATACGAGATTATGTTTTCTTCCCAAATAGAGCTTGCCTAACACATATATTATTCTTCGTTATGTCGCGTATTTCATAATAAACTTGATAGATGGTTTTGTGCCTAGTTGGCAACTACAGATTCGATAGCTCTGAAAAAAAGGAAAGATCAATTCTATTCTCAACGAGATGAAGAACGCGAGCTAAATGTGTGTTAGTCTCCGACAACAGGTCATAATAGGTCGAAGTACTATATTTTTCTGTAATGTTCATGAAAGAGAAGAATAATCTTACCGAATTGTTTGATATTATCACTGCTATACTAAGCAAATTTAAATCTGATTCTATCATCTTCGACACGTATGTCATGACGTAAAACTCTGCTTGTTAGATTAGTAATGAATTCAATCGTACACTCGATGAGGAATAGATTGCAGGCCAATAAACTATAATTATTCTAGCTGAATATGGCATGATATTTTAATAATTTGATCGATAGTTTTGCGTAAAAATATAATTCAGTTAATAAAAGAACAATTGGTTCTATTATTGATTTTTTTCGTATGGGTCCACATGTATTACATTGTTATTTTAGTCTCATTTTGGCATATTCACTCCAACTGTCGCCAAAGTATCAATGTCAATATGCATCCGATGTAAATAAGACAAGTGATAACAGAAAGAAAAAAAAAAGAAATAATAGACTAGGGAACACCCGGGATTGAACCAGGGACCTCTCGATCTGCAGTCGAATGCTCTACCACTGAGCTATATCCCCATACCAGAAATGTGTAACTTTTCATTTGAGTTTCCAAATCAATATAATAATATGACATTTTTGCATTTGGTTTATCCATATAAATACTAGATGCAGAATGAATGCATTCAAACACGTTTGACAAGAAGTTTTGAGACCCGTGCATTTGTGTTTCAATGTTTATTCAAAATTTAAAGTTATTCTGACTGAATCACATTATCAATGAATTTTATTCCCTTCTTAAACATAATATAATCGATTTTATCCAAAATTGCAGAGTTATATCAAATTATTCAACGTGCTAAGGACGACCTGGCTTTTAATAAGAAAAACTATTTTCTGACACTCGTCAAGATTATGACACGATAATAACATTCTTTTAAGCTTATTATGACGGATTATCTAAAAAACAATATGTTGAATATATAATATTTCAGTTTTCAAAAGTCAAATGCATAGTGAGTACTACAAATGGTCCAAGTTTTTAATTATGTAATACAAATAAAAGACATCGCAATTATTTTGACTAAAAAAGAAATTTTGAATATTCTCACAAATACGATTGTTGGTCTCGTTCAGTATTGCTGATTGATCTATTTGACTCGAATTTGGTTTGATCGAAACGTAAGCTATGGGTAATGATGAATGGGAACGTTGAACAATGGAAATGAATTATTGAAGATATAAGAAAACGGACGAAGCTTGAACTGTTGCCAGCATTATTTCAGAGACGAGCCACTAAAACCAAGATTGATGACTCCACTGGGAACATCGACAAAATCTTTGGAAAATGTTGACCATAAGCAAAACGATGAGCTGCCGAAGAAAACAACAGTTGCTCGTTCTTTTTATGTCAACAATTGATCAAATCGAAGGCGCTCTGGCTCATAGATTGTATTGATTAGCTTTCCAATGAAACCTTCATTATGAAATATTTGATACTGCATAGTATTGTTTGTGTAGACAGTAGGCAATGAACTGATTTCATCTTCAAACATGGTCGTACAGGTACCATTCAATATACCTAAATGGAAGCAATCTGATAAGCCGATGAAGTGATTCTCTGTGCATTTACTTTGAGTGGTATCGAAAATACTGGATAGGTATCCTTGTCTGTGAGGAAAGGGTTCATCTAGAAAATAGAAGATATTACTGCCATACTTTTAATTCCTCACTTTTTTTACCCAAGTATAGGAAATAGTGCTCAAGAAATTGATGGTAAATGTCTTATTGTTGTAGAAAAATGCTTAACCAAATCGTTGAGAGTAATTTTGATCGCTAATTTGCTGTTATGATAAACACTACAAACGACGAAATTCAATCGGTGTTAATGCACAATTTCCTTCAAAGATACTCATGAGAAAAGGCTTATCAAGCAAACTTCTTACTTTGGGAAATGATAGCGAAAATCACCACAACGAGAATACTGCAAACAATATTTAATAGAGACATGCCACAAAGCAGAACAGTATTTGTGGTATGAATAACTTGTTTCTTTTGCTTCCAGATATATACGTGAGTAATACTCGACAAGACAAACGTTGGAAAACATGTGTTACAAAAACGCAGTAGTTGTGATGTTATTGGATCGGAGTTGAACGAGAGAAAAAAAACGCAAAAAAGTCTTGGCATATCATCACATCTGTTGACATTGTTTGGAGTATCGGTATAGATGTATGAACGAAAATAAGATGTGAACTCACACGAACCCCCACAAAACCTACACCCATTAACCCTAAGTTCTAAACAATCACTATTAAAAACTAAATCATAAGATCATTTATCCTCTGTTGCGCTATTTTTCATCCATTCATGTGAACTATCTAGTTTGAATGATAAAGCATCGGATCGAGATAGTTTTCGCATACTATCTAGAATCTTTGAAAAGTTACAAAACCAAAAAAAGGAATAAACTTCTTTTTACGATCTCTTGACTAACGTAAGACTTATGAATTGGAAAATTATATTTTTTTACAATAGTGGCAAAATCTGTTTTTTTTTTCTTTCTACTTTACTGCCTGTCACAAACTGATTATTCTGATGTCGGTTATGTTGATATATACTATTGTGGACATGATATATTCGTAGAGTGCTTTTTAAGAAGCTCTCGATGACAGATGTGAAAACAGCATTTATTATGACAGTTCGGGTTGTTTTTGACTTATTTATAGTGAGTAAACAAGAAAGATCACTTTTCTAGATTTATTTTGTTTTCGATCTAAGCTCATAAAGTAGTACAATCTTCATGTTCAAAACTTTATTAGAATTAATGTCCAATCAATGACCATTCCATGGAAGATCTAATTTCAATCTGAAAAACCGACGAAGTTGCAAAAGGCCAAAAAATACTTACAATAAATTCAATATTCATGTCATTTAAAATGAACCATACATCTCAAACCTGATAGTTGATTGTGGGTATGGGTGCGCGTATAGTGGTAGGAACACGTGCCACCACCCATACTCCACATCCTTACTCTATTGAATAATTGATTAGTTGTTGTACGAATTCAACTACCCAATTATGAATTTAGCTTTATAAATATCTATAGTAGTAATCCTATAAATATTTCTCAATATTTTCCTGTCATAGAGCCTACGCTTGTTTCAAAAGTAGTTTAGGTTATACGAATTGACGAGTGTAACACCTAATGAAAGAATTCATTCAAAATTGTTGTCTCTGTCTGAAAAATCCAGTTTGTTTGTAAAGAATCGTTTTTGAAATGTGTTGTTTAAACTTGTTGATAAATGCTTTTGGTAACCGAATACGTAACAACAAGTTGTTTATCTTTCAGTAGTTGTCTTCGCCATTAAGACTTCACAAACAAGTACCCATCGGAAAACATGTGGTTTCTATTTCTATAAGATTAGAAATTACAGATTTTTGCACTCCGTATATTAACTAAAAATGATTAAGACTGAGATCGAGAGGCATTTATTACTATCGACAATAAAAACAAATGAAGCAAAGAGAAAAGCTCAGCTGTATTTATGACACAAGAATAGGTTTCGTTTGACTCATCGAAATAGGAGATGTTTTGTGCCAAAACTGTCGATACATTATATTTGTCGAATTTGATGGATATGGCTTGAGACTAATTGCCGTCGAAAGTCATCATCGTAAATCGGCAAGGTTAAGAATGCAAAAAATATCGGTATATTATTAATGGTGATGTAAATTTATCCGCGTTTAGCTCTTCATACATATAATTAATTTATAATAGATTTTCTTTGTCTGCATTTGATATCGAAGAAAAAAAAACATTGTATTGAGAGAAATAAAAAGCAGAAAAAATTCTATTTTTTACTTACTTCAGTTTATAATTGCTGTATCTGATGCATTTTTGAATATCTACATTATGCTGATCTGTTCGTGGATATGTATAATAATAAATTTCAGCTGCTTTATGATAGAATGAAAGAGCCAAATGAAATTGTTTATCTTCTTGATAAATATTACCAATATCTTTATACATAGAACCAAGTTCAGGATCGTTTGGTTTCAAATGTTTTTGACTCATTTGTAGTGCTCTATTTAGATAATTGCGAGCCTCCTCATAATCACGTTTGAGACAATAAGTTTTAGCCAAATTCATTAGGGATGTAATCATATGTAAAGAATCTTTTGAAGCAATTTTTTCATTTAAACTCAAGACTTCTTGAAATGATGTTAATGCTTTATTATAATTCTTTATTTTCTGATAGATTCGACCAATATTGCTGCAACAGTCAGCAATATTTCGGTATGATTGATTAGTTTCACACTCATACATGGATTTTGCTACTTTGTAATTGTGTAGAGCAAGTTTTTCATTGTCCATTGATAGATAGGCATCGGCTATGGAATTGTAACATTTTGCCTGCCATCTACGATCATTAGAGATTTGTCGTGCTTCAGTATAATATGTAATCGCTTCAGCATATTTTCCATTCTTCTTGTAAATATTTCCCAAGCCATGATAAGAATAACTGATGAATGAATCATTTTTAGGTAAATACTTCAATACTAATCGATAATATTGTTCAGCATGATTTAGTTTATCCGTTTCTTCTACGAACCAGTATAAATGTGATTGATTTAATTTTGATTCAATATATTGTTTCCATTTGGAAATAATATCATGAATTTTTTTATCATTTTCACTGCATAATTTTAATTCTATAAAATAATCGTTTGCTTTAGAAACATTCTTGATTTGGAAGATTGTTCCCGGTATAAATAGTAATTCTTTTTCATTTCTATATGCACTAATATCTTGAATATCACCATATTGGCGTATATTCAGATTCGGATCAATATCAATCTTGAATAGTACGCATCGAAGATTAATGGTAAATTCATCAGATGATTTCGATCGAAATCGTTCTGCAATATGTCGATCTCTAGTCGTTGAAAAGAATGAGTTTATTGATGCAAAACTACCAATAGAATGTTTCATTCGTTGAATTTGACCTAATGGCAATATTTGTCGACGATAAACACTATATATTGGTAGTAACTGGTCAGATTTCTCATGTTTGCGTTTATTTTTTTGAGAATCATATGTCTGCATCAGCTGTTCATACAAATCAAAGATAAAAAATCGAAAAACAGTTAAGAGCTTCAAATTTCTACAGCGTAAAGTTCTGTTTAATGCTGTATAAAATAGTCCCTCATTGGTATACCATTGAATGGCTTGATCTCGTGAATATTTTGCATCGAAATGATTCCATACGCGCAAACTTTCAATGTCATTATACATTTCACAAAGTTTTTCAAGAAGTGCTCTCTTTTCATCAGCTATTGTCGACGAGTATAACGAGTGATTCATACGAAAAAATATGTTCATAAATACATACATCCATATAAAACGATCATTTAAATCCGATGATTCTTCTTGTTGATTGTAAATGTTGAGAGATAATTGTTCTTCGGCACCTCTCTGATACAGAATTTGTTCCATGTGAATATTGTTCATCAACATATCCGGACTAATTATAACGTCCTTTACCTAAAATAAAATAAACGATTTTGATGAATACAAAAGTGTACTGACATGCATATTAGTATACAATTTTTGATACATTATAGTACTCTATATTTCCAAAGAAAATACCACATTGAGAAGAATCGAAGATTTTGGCAACAACAACGACTATCAGGATGCATTTTTTTCTTCATTTGAAAGCTACATATTGAACTCGTATGGCTATATTATTTAAATTTTTTTGTAGTCTTTATAGAGAGAGCGGAAATTTTTGGACACTTTCGATTTTTAAGTGTGAACAAATTTTAGTTCTCCAATGTTGAGACTTGCAATCGATGCTGAGGAACGTTCCTTCATAATTCTACTAGATGAGAAAATTGTTCTCTTCAGTATTCAAAAATTCAGTATGAAATGCCAAAAATTTGAAAAGAAATTATTTTAATGATTATTTGACTCTTCACCTAAGTTCAGTGACCAAACAAAGTTTATATTTGAAAAATGAGCTTGCACAATTGCATCGAATGACTACCAGTTTTCATCATAGATGTTTGATGATGCAAAGAGTAGCAATGTACTATAATGACATAACTGTAAATCATATGATCAAGGTGAAAGGTTAAATAATTGTTACAGTAGTTTTTTTCGAGCATTTAATATTTCACACTTTTTTTTTTGAATATCAAATGAGAAAAATTTTCTAATCCCAAAGAAATATAGGAAATGCTTCTGGTATTGATTACAAATCTTAAAAATAAAAAATCAAAGTTTGCTCACTCTGAATATTCAGAAATATCCTAAAATGCTCTCTGTCTCTCGCTTTAATGATCATACAAAAATACTCCAAATGATTCATTCATATATGTCTTATGTAAAACTCTTGGATGTAGAAAACAGCATTCTAGTAACTTGTTATGTTGTAACTGCAAAAACCTCGACCATAGCTAAGGAGGTGTGTCTAAACATATACTGCCGCAGGTTTTCATAATTATAAGTCTCAGTTTGATCGCAGCTATAACGTAACTGTGTGGCAATTCAATCACAATTGAGTATATGAGTTCTCTCTTGCTTACCTTTGCGTATTGTTCAAATTTCTTTTTGTAATAATTATCTACATGTGAATAAATATAAATGACTCGAATCTGTATTGAATCATGAACGAGCGGTATTATAACAGTACCAATAGTACCAGCCACAATCAAAATAACTTCTTCACCTACTGGCAATTGTCGAATATGTTCTTCACATTCTTCGTCTGCATTGAACACTGTCAATGATTTTGTTATTGTCTTGAGTTTTTCTTGCAGTTCAATGTTTTCCCTACTTTCGTGAACATCAGCGTCTAACCAAATAATAGACAAAGTGTCATCATTAGTAAATTGTGTATCCATATTAATTTCAGGCAGTTGAATGTCGATATTTCGCTGTAGTTCTGGTATGTCATCTATTTGAATATCATTCTCTTTTTTTGAATGAGACAAATCAAGAATAAAATCTTTTTGTGTGTCATTTTTTAAAATATCATGCATTTCATGTTCTTGTTCATTGGTAATATTTTGGTTTTCTAATGATATCTCCTCTAGTCCTGTTGATAATTTAGGAACCAAAGTCGCAGTTTCGATTGTTTCCGATTTGACTGGTACTGGTGATTCGATAGGAAATTTAAACCAACTGATCTTGCTTCCCATTTATTTTCTCTGAGAGTATAAAGCAAAATGTGATGTTTTTCTATTAAACTAATCAGATAGGTTTTGGTCATACCTGTTAATGGATGACTTTTTAGAATTCTTTTGTTGTTTGAGAAAAAGACCAATAACGAGTAAATTACCCGATATCTGAATCAAAAGTTGATATATTCAATTACAAGATGTAATTGAACGTATTTAAAAGCTTAACGTCTATATTTTCTAGACTAAAAGAATCAGAAACGGTAACTAACTCATTTATCTGCCTGAACCTCTTTTAAACCATTTGACTGTATTTTTGTTTTCAGTTGATATGACATCAACGTGTCAAAGATAAATACCTATCTGGGATACTTTTCATGACCAATTTGTATGTTCTGTAGACTGAAAAGCCTAGAGTTTGCAAAACAGTAATTAAAACTGACGTCTCGGTATTTGCATCAATGACGTCTGCGTTTTAATTGGTAACAAACGTTTTTTCTATATTTCTGCGCAGTTTTTGATCTATTTCTGAATTTTCAGTCGCATTTTCCAGTTAATTGTTTATCACTATTCAATGATTTATGTTTTGGAAATTAGCATAAAAGTTTCAAATAGTTTGGATTTTTATCGAGAAAAGTCTGAATCAAAAAATGAATTATACCGTTTTTAGCCACTAATGCACGTGAAGAATGGGTCCTTTGGTGATTTAGTTATAAAACAATGAAACTGTATATAAAGTGTCGAAAGATAGTGCAAAAACCGTACTTACATCTAGTTTCAGCACCCAAACAAATCTCATGGATTAAGAAACATGTAGCTAAATAGAATCGATAATGATAATGACGAAGACGATCTTTATTTTTGTTCACTTTGTTGACAGGTGAAGAACCAAATTTCCAAGTCTTATTCTAAAGGTGGTCTCTGAGTTCTGAAGATGTTTTAAACGCTTGAAAACATATTTGGATTTGATAATGGAGTATTGTTCTCCTGCTGATGTGAAAACTGACGTATTTTAATGTATACAATAGTTCATAGGATCAGTGTACGAGAGAAAAGGAATCGAGATTATTTATAATTAGCTTTTCTGGTTCGTGTACTATGACTTCATCATTTGAATGTATCACCTTCTACAATTTCATTAAAAGATAGAAATGTTATCCCCTATGGAAACTAACTTTTATATCAAAGAGAAAATGGTTTTGGAAACTGTTCTCTAAGCAAAAGTGCCGCAACATAAACATGTTTAGATAGAGAATACTCGTTTATTTATTTGAAATGTTGCTGAAAAAATTAAGAACGTTTCTCAAGTTGACAAATTGCTATAAATCTTCTTTTTTTGCTCCAGCTCCAGACGCCATAGAAACTTGTCTTAACCTTAGTCATATCAGGAACAAAATAGTATCCATGAAATCAACAGTAAAATTTGAACCTCAAAAATCTCTATATCAAGTAAAATTTAGTGAAATAAGATGGATAATAGAAATTATTACGATTACAAATGAATGCAGTCTTGAAGAGTATTGAACGAGGAATATATTTCAAAAAATAAAAATCTCAAGAATGATAAACTAAGACAATTTTGTTAAAAGTTTACATATGTCTCTCTTCGAGGTCGATTAGTTATTTCCTTATTTAAAATAATACTTCTCAATTTCGATTAATAATTATTGATGAATCATATTTGTTGATTATATCTAGAACAAAAAAAAGCATATTCATATAATAGATAAGTATAAGACCCTATATAAAATAATAATGACATAATATGTAGTGAATTAGTAGGACATGTAAAAGAAGAAAAAAAAAACACATACACTAAACTACACTCGATTACTTTGCAATATAATATAAGTTTAAAGTAGTTCTACTGAATTCTAGTTTGAAATATCTAGACAATAATGTGTTTCTTTATTATTTATTCGTATTTATAGTCTGTATCTTATCTACCAAATATACAATTTCCACGATGAGGCCATTCGATTAATTTTCCTCTAAACTCTGTTGTTTATTTTTATCTTTTTCTTCTTTTTTAATAGAATTGATTATAGTTGCCCAATAACTTTGAGCGATACTTTGTTCACGCAAGATATTATCATGAATTCGAAATAGATTTTGTTTAGCTAAATAAAAAAATGTAGTCCAAAAAAAGATTCTTCTACAAACTAAATATGATATTACTTTGTTTCTGATTTATCTTCATTTTTGCTGTTTTCTGATTGATATGAGCATGACATTGACATTGTTGAGAACCATCTATAGTAAATAAAGCATTCATACAAACTGAATTTTTAAGAATAATAATCTGAACTTGCCTGGTGATGATCCAACATTAAAGCTCATTGTAATTCCTGTAGTGGGAGAATTCGAAAAGAATATCTTTTGATTTCGATAAGGTTCGTCAGTAAAATAACTATAATATTGATTACGTTCTGTACTAAATGGATTTCCAGAACCTGTTGAAAATCGAATCGCTAAATATTGTTTGGCTCGAATAGGAATATGAAGTTGAGTGAATGTTTGTATGCCCGATTCTAATTGTATATCAGCTAATGGTATCATTTTTTTTTCAATAATTTGAAAAGTATTTGGATGTGTACCGATATTTGTATTTTGAATAGTAAAAAGCCATATTTTCGGCTGGTTAGCAGTAGGTTTTGTTGAAAAATTAACGGAAACTTCCGTCACATAACCGCAAATTTTAACTTGATCTATAGCATTAAATAAAATAGTATCATAGAGATTACAATCTAATCCACTACTATTATCTAATGAACCATAAATATTGTCTAAATAGAATGAAATATAAATAAAAAATTAAATTTTTACAGATAACTTAATTATTTACTATTAAAATTTTCTTTACGACAGGAATTAAATATTTTCCAAAGACCCTTACAAATATAATGGATAAGATTGAATGGTGGAGGTAATGGAGATTTTCTTGAATATTCATTTACAAGAAGAAGTCGTTGAAAAGCCCAGCTGGTATGTGCATGATCTTGGACTTTGTTCAATGTGACACTAAAATTATACATCAGAAAATCTATAATTCGACGAAACTGAACTTGAGGTAAAATGGAGAAAATAAGTGTTCAAATTTTTAAAAATGATTTGACAGTGAACATTTTCAAAACAATGAGTTTTTCTACTATGTGAAATTTCAAAAAAAAAATAACATTTTCGTTTATTACAGTTGTATAATTGATGAATGAGTTTTGTTCACGACTTCAAGTAAATATTAGTATTTAAAAAAGTTAGATTTTCCATTTTCATTAAATATGGAGAACAGTCTAATGAACAAATATCGAAGAAAAACTTTGTATCCTTAATCCGTACATCGCAACACAGAAAAATTGCATTGGTATCAGTTTTGTGCAATGTTTGCTCTTTTACTCGGACATAATTATGATCACAAGTTACTCTTGGTTCAAAGACATGCTTTACAAGTTAAAGTTTCAGATAGAAAATTTTTATTCCAAATGTGGAATAGACTAACTAGCTTCGAAAGATGTGCATCAATTTTTCTAATATTAACATCATAGGAAATGCATTTTAAACTATCAAAAACAGAACTAGCTAGCAATCTGAAAGCTGTACAAATTGATGAGATGCAAATATATAAATAAAAAAAAACTAAGAATTCACTATGATTTAAATGTGTTGGATTTTGTAAACCTTTTAAATATTTGGTTCTATGAGGGTGATACTCATGTGACTACCTTATATTACCCTCTTCTGACAATCTGTATCAGATCAACTTCACCAACTGTTACACTTCAGATGATAAAATAAATTAGATTGCAACAGTTAACAATGTTTTCTTAGAAAAATGGAAATCGTACGATTGTTCAGTAGAAACCGTCGGCACACATAATGTTCAGTAAATACTGTGGTCAACATCTCTGTGATATCCGAGGGTGGAAAATCATGCATTTCTAAGAGACATCGGTGAAATATTGTCTGTAATATTTCACTGATTCGCTGACAATCATTCTACGTTAACAAAACACTTTCCTTTGCACCATAGCTATATGACGGTGCGGTCAGTACCCACGTTTTGTGGCAACCTTATCTGGTACGATGACTACTGATTCGTATCCTGGTCTAGTATCCGCGTGCCGTAGTATTGTTACACGACGATAGTCTGTATGTGAGATACCGCAGAGTCGCTTTTTTAAACTGAGTTTTCCTCAGATTTGGTAGAATTGCCAGCGCTATATCACAGCAATACTACACTACAACAAATTGAAAAATCTGATATGATCTGATGAATCTGTCCAAATACGTAAATTCTTTATCAGAGTAAGTGTTTTCAGCTAGATGGAGGTTTTCTGGAACTCATTTTACTGTGTTAATCTTTACATTTATCAGAATTCCTTTCAAAATGTAGAGAAAACATTTGAGACTCTTATTTCCACTAGTAAACTGTGTAATCTGATGCCACATTCTTGTGATAATTGTTCTTATCTTTTTAAGTTTTTTATGACAAATGATCGCGAATGACAATAAAATTTTGATCAATTGTACACGTCAAAATGACAACGAAAAAACAAATCCAATTCATGACGTACTAGCATCTAAATTTCAGGTATGGCAATAAATCGAGTCATCTCTTAGAAAAAAAACATAAGTTAATTTTTAATAAGTACTTCGCATGATTCTACATTCCTTTGACATTCATATTATTCACCGACGTGATACTCTGGTGGTCAGCCAATGAGTCGATCAAGAAATATACAACAATAAACCGCAGATAAAGTGCAATCAGGCTTCTCAATAGAGATGTTTGGTATACTATTTCCTATTCTCACTTATAATTATGTTGCAAAATGCTATAGCTTATATAAAAGAAAACAGACTATCTTTCATTTGGTGCAATTATCAGATCGCAAGCTAGCTATGTCTTTCTGTTATTCGTAAAACAGTGATAAGTATTTTATTTTCAAACGAACAGTAGAATCCGAAAACCATAATACATAAGCAACTATTAGCTTATATTTAAAACTCTAATCTCAAAATGTCACTATTTTAAAACATTTTCACTGATTAATGAACTATTGAAACATGAAATTAATATTTTGCCTATTCAATTCAGCACCCTAGTCGAACATCTTGTAAGCAAGATCTTGCTTGCAAGTTGTTCGATTAGAAAAATTTTTCATGAACTAATAACAATTTTGAATAAACTCTTTCGAAAAATTGCCGCATATTTTGAATTTCTAACACATAAAAATCTTACTTGAATACAGCAATGAGAACATTGAGAAGAAGAACATTAGCAATGCAAACAAAGATAATAGTCAATATGAATGCTACTGTACCATAGGCATCATTATCAACTAAAATGAAAAAATAAATATTATATTTGAAAAAAAAGTCATTGAGTTTATTATCCTATTCAATTTATTGTCGTCAACTTGTGAATAATCTAAAAGATCGACTTGTCCATATATTTTCCAAATACCCCAGTCGATAATATTGCGTATAGCCGTCCAATTCCCGAAACCTATACCATCTTGGTCAATTTTAAATGAATTCGATGAATTATCACTCATTATTTCATTCCATGTAACTTGTCGCTTTGTTGTAATCAATGAATACGATGTAATAGAATAACTAATTAGAAATATAAATATCAAAAAGATGAAGACGAACAAATCTATCATCTAAATCAAGATTTTAAATATTTCCATCACTTGCATGAATCAAGAAAAAAAGTTCATACTGTTTTGAATATCATCAGTAACTTAGTACCAAGTCTCTCAAACACTGCAAAAAAATGTAGAATTCGAATGTACCAAATAAAATGTGAAATACACATTGAAATTCTGAAAATAAAAATGAATAAAGATTTTTTGTATCTAATTAAATTTACTTTGAGAAAGTAAAAAAATTTTCTTCTACAATGAAACGTGTAGAAAAACCGGCAATATAAAATAAAATTCCCACAAGGTCAAGAATGTTCCATTGGTCATCCGCAAAATATTTTATGAAAACATTGCAGTACGGATGATATTTAAGTTTTTCTCGACAATATTGAATGAACTATTAAAGACAATCATATTTAAAACATGGTAATATAGGTGAAATAAATAGTTACTTCGATAAGTTCTTCCAAAGTTATAATGCCCATACAAATGTGCATAACAGTCTCTTGAACTGGTAATTTTTTATTGAAAGGAAAGTACTTAAAAAGTAGAACATAGCTGAATAGACCCATAAATAACGCATAGAATAGCTAAAAACAATCAGAAAATTGATTAGAATTAATGTATAAATCTATTCATACAATGTTATAATAAAATCGAATAACTGCACGTTTATGATAAAATCGAAAAATTGAACGTTTGCGATAAAATCGACGAAAACACGATTCATTTGCAGTTGGAGACCTATAAAATAGGAATGCAGAATATGTCGTTAAAATGAAAAATTTCTCCCATTGTCGAAGTAAAAGAAATTAAGAAGGAAACAAACTCATTATACGCTCAAAATAATGTTATTCAAAAAAAAAAAATGAATTAGTTGCATCGATCACCGACTACTTAATTATGGTAATTTTGATACTGATTCATTCCGGACACGATTTATGACAATTTTCTCAAGGCATAGAAGTTTCTAGATTTGATATTGTTAACTTTTCTTATCAAAGAAGAAGTAGTCACATTATTTTCTATTCTTAAATAAACCAGATAATCTGTGCACGAAGTTCATATTCTAATATCTATTTACAAAAGGAAAAATTTTTCATCTTATGTTCCGTATTAAGACAATTCATATAGTTTAACAATACATCTAAAATTCTGTGAGATAATCTTGTATATTTTGTGAAATACAATTAATTATGTGTGCTGAAGCATGTAACAACAAAAGTGAATCCTCAGCCTACTCCATAGACGGTGACAGAAAAATCGCGACTTTTCAATGTTTGTCATAGACTGCGAGAGATCTAACGCAAAAATAAAGAGAAAAATAGACTTCGAACTTTAAGACACTTTGAACTTGATCTTTTTGTTTTAAATGACTTTTCTATCTTGATGAGATCTGAAACTCCGAAGTTCAAAACAGACTGATTTTTCTTTACGATACAACTTTTTCGTCTCCATCACATACTGTAATAGATATATCGACATGCTCATCTTCCGGCTGAGTGATTTGGTTGTGTTCAGCATGGCACACGGTATCATTTAAGAGTAAAGCAGTTCTATCGTATTTCACAGTATAATTGTGTAAAGATTGCGCTGAAAGTTTGGTGCTAGTGTGGAATAAAGCAGAAAAAAGCATCTCGTGAGATGTACTGTTTTTTTTTATTCAAGAATAGTTTGTGGTCTATTAATCTGTAGGATTATAGTGTTTCATTATTTCGTTCGACCCTTACTTTTTTTTACGTTGTTTTACTGGTTTCAAAATATAATATACGAAACTGTGAACTGAAGAGACACTGAATGAAAAACTGAAAGAACGCGAAAACATGGGAGAAATAGACTTTGACTTCGATTCCTATAGGAGATAGCCAATCTTATAACATATTCAAATCCAAAATATTATGGTCTAAAACGTTGTCTTTGATTATCTATAGTTTATTATTTTGAGTCATCATTGTTTTTCGATCTTTTTCTTCTATATTTGATTACTGTTCAGATTGAGCCATATAGCAATTGATAGTACTCACTTCACTCTACAAAATTGCACAAGTATACCGTTTTTCTCTCAAGCCTTAATCTGAAATGAAAAATCACAATACTATGTGTTTTAGATGATTTTAAGTTCGGATCAAACCTCTAATTTTACCAGCATCTTGATCAACTACATAAGTAAACAAGTGACAGTCAATAAAATTGATAGCATCAAAATGTATACAGGACTTTATATGAGAAAGTTCTAGAACCAAGATAGCTGAAGTCACAAGAGTGTCGATGTAGATGCGGTTTTTTATCTTTTCATCACTCACACCTATACCTACATCCTCAACCAATCGCATACTTTTTAATAGAATGCTCAATCCACTGGGATAGAATTTTTTATTCGGCAAATC